TTCCCTATGTCGTTGGCTAGACTCTTAGATCACATTTGTTTGAAAGATTTTATTTCTTATTTACTTTTAGAGAGAGGGGAAGAGAGGGAGAAGAAGAGAGAGAGAAACATCAATGTGGGAGAGAAACATCGATCAGTTGCTTCTTGCACACACCCGACAGGGGCCTGAACCCACAACCCAGGCATGTGCCCTGACCAGGAATCGAACCCACGACTTTCACTTTTCAGGACAACACCGAGTTTACTAAGTCACCCCGGCCAGGGCGGTCACATTTTTGTATAGCAGTTCTGTTGTCATATTTCCTGTAATATGAATAAAACACAGTCGGGCCACAGAGGCCAGCAGACTTCTTCTGTAAAGGACCAAACAGTAAATGTGTCGGAACTTCTGACACAACTCTCCAACTTTGCCCTTGCTCAGGAAAGCGGCCCCAGACCACACATAAACAATGAGCATGGTTGTGTTCCGATAAAACTTTATTTACAAAAACAGATACGGGTGAGGTGGTGGAACAGGAGCCCCTACACTTTGTTCTGCCACAGATGCAAGGACTTAACAAGTTTTTAGAACTCCAGAAACCGGTTAGGAAGCTGCAGCACCTTTGGCATGTTGTCCTGATATACCAAGGTTGTGGGTTCGATTCCTGGTCAGGGCACATGCAAGAATCAACGAAGGAATGCATCAATAAGTGGTACAACAAACTGATGTGTCTGCCTGTCTGTCTCTATAAATCAGTGAGAATAGTTGCACTGAAACAGGTAAAAAAAAAAAAAAAAAGCCATTCCCATGAAACCACATTGACCCAAACGGGCATAGCTCACTGTCAAAACCAAAGCACCCAACACGCAGCGCCTCCCTGGGGAGGGAAAGAGAAGACTGAAACAAGTGTCCACCCTTTTGGCTTTTGCGGGAGGGGACTGGTTGGGTCTTGCCTGACTCACAACACTGAGGGGACCAGCATACCTCAGCGGCCCCAAGGGCCACAGAGCCCAAAAGCTCAGCAGTTTATTTTAACTCAGGAGCCTGCAGTACTACAGCCCGACACCAGAGGGAGCAAGACGACAAGCTCTTGAGAAAGAAACCAGCAAACCTATCTCATGAGCGAAACACACACACAAACCCAGAAAGGACCCGCCCTTACAAAGGATTTGAGAGGCCCTAGGAATCCTTAGGCTGACTGGCGAGGGTCCTCCCCTGGACGATGCAGCCCCTAAAGACAGGGAGGCATGACTGGTCTGTCAAATGCACAAAACACAACGGGATAAAGCAAGGCACACAAAGAAACCAGGAAACATGACCCAATCAAAGGAACAAAGTAAATCTCCAGAAACTGATCCTAAAAGCAAACAAACAAGAAAAACAAACCAAACAAACAAAAAACTCCCAGAGATCTATGAATTACCTGACAAACATTCAAAATAACCATCTTAAACGCAATGCAGAACTCAGGCCAACAGCTAAACAAAACCAGGAAAACCATGCATGAACAAAATGAGAATACCAACACAGAGAAATGATGAAAAGGAACCAACTGGAAATTTTGGAGCTAAAGAATAAAATAACTGGGTTGAAAATTTTCGCTGGAGGGAATGGGCAACAGACTTGATCAAGCAGAAGAAAGAATTAGCGAACTCGAAAAGACAGGCCGTTTGAAATATAGAGTAAGTCTACAACCACACCACCGTGAACACACCCGATCTCGTCTGAAATTAGAGTCAAAGGAATGAAAAGAAAGAGAAGAATGAAGGGAAGCAGGAAAAGCCTAAAGGACATATAGGACACCATCAAGTGGACCAGCATTCACATTGGGGGAGCCGAGGAGAAGAGGGAAAGAAAGGGGCAGAGAGTTTATTAGACGAAATAATGGCCAGCCCTGGCCAGGTGCTCAGTTGGCTGGAGCACTGTCCAGTACATCAAAAGGCTGTGGGTTCAATCCCTGGTTGGTGAGTGTGTAAGAGGCAACTGATCAAGGTTTCTCTTTCATGTCAACGTTTCTCTTTCTCTTTTCCTTTCTCTAAAAATCAATGAATATATCCTCAAGTGAGGTTCAAAATAATAATAATAATAATAATAATAATAATAATAATGGCCCAAACTTTCCACACCTGAGGTAGGAAATGAATATTTCAATTCAAAAATCTCAAAAGACTCTAACTAGGATAAATCAAAGGGGTCTACACTGAAGCACATCATAATCAAACTAAGAGACAGTTCGAAAGTAAGAGGCAAAGAGAGGATCTTAAAAGCAGCAAGAAAAAGGGGGTTCATCCCATACAGGGGAGAACCCCCAAAATGACCATCAGATTTTCCAGCAGAAGCAGAACAAGTAGGAAGCGGTGGAATAACATAACCAAAGTGCCTCAGAGACGGGGTCCTGGGCAAGGCCATCGGAGAATGGGTGCCCTCCTCCAGGGACCTCGGCGGCAGGAACTGGAGAGAATCACCACCCAGGCGAATGGTCCCTGCTGCTGCCCCCTTAGGATGCCAGGCAGGCTGACCCCTGGGTCTTCCATTCACCGAGGGCTGGTGCTCTTGCTTTGGCCCAAAGAGAGGGTTCTAAAAGAAAAGATGGAAGAGGGGTGGGAGCGACTAGAAGGCAGAGAAGAGCCTGGGGTGTGAGTGCAACTCTCCGACAGGTCTTCCTTACGTGTCTCTGGGAGACGTGACACCAGCTTCCCCGCCCTCTGTGAAGTCAGGGAAACAGGCCCCTGCTCCCCACTTTGCAGAATGAGTCTGTGCTTGGACATTTGGGAAGATGTGATAAAGTACCAGGAGCGATGGGAGCCCCGAGATCGCCCATGGGTGGCTCCTCACATCGGGACTGTGTTATAAAATGCTCATAACAGGAACAAGTATAGAAGACACATGGACAAAAACTGGGGGAGGGGTGGAAATGGAAGGGAAGTGGGGAGGGCTGGGTGGGATGGGCTGAGATGGGAGTAAAAGACAGAAAACTACTTGAACAACAATTAAAAAAAATTTTAAAGTGTTTTAAAAACGCTCATGAGAAGCATGTGGCCTCTTACACCTCACTTGGTCCCATCAGAAGCAGGAGCACCTGTTGGGGCAAATGAGAAATGAGTTCAATGGGGGATACGCCTGAGCCCTCAGAGCAAGGCCACCTGCCACTTGACCCATAGACACAGGGGCAGGTGGGTGGCCAGATGGGCCTTGGGGACACCTAAGCCCCCCTGCCCTCTTGGGTTGCTCTCTGCTTACAGGTAATGATCTCTAGCTTCTGTGTGAGGGCTCAGTTCTGACCTGGCCCCGCACCCTTGCCTTTAATCCTGATTTAGGGCACTGCAAAATGCAGGACGCTTAAGCCTGGGAATGGGCAAGAGTAATAACATTTGGGCTTTGTGTGAAGTTAATTCTTGCCACTCTTTGGGGCCTGGAGACATGCAGCGAGTGCAGGTTTGTAATGGCAATGTTTGATGACCTGAGATGTCCCCGGTCCTTTTTTGCAAGAGGTTCCTGGGCCATTCGCTGTTAGAGGCAGCTGGCTTCCAGCCAGAGGAAAAACTTCCCTGCAAAACTCTCCCCTGGACCTTGACCTTCCTCTGGGTGCTGCTACCTTCAGCTTTTTTTCATCATTGGTCCCAAGCCAGCAAAGATTTTCTGCATCCTGACAACTAATGTTTCCACTTTTAAGGGGCAGATGGAAAGAGAGAAAAGGAGAGAGAGACGAAGAGGCAGAAAGAGAACACAACAGACAGCTAGAAGGACACAGAGAGGAAGAGCCGAGGCAGATGCATCAGGGGCAAAATCAGTGTCTTTAGTGAAAATCAGGAGTGGGGGGCCTGTTGTGGATGCCAGACATGATGAACCCACAGCCGAGCAATACACCCTATTGAGGGCAGACACGAATGGTCGATCACCGAACTCTTTTATCTTCAATAGAACTTTACCTTGACTTTGGCCTTGACTCAGCAGAGCAGGGAGAGCTGACACCTAGCTTCCTTCAGCAGGAGGCTAATGACACCCAGCTGAACTGCACCTGCTGACCCCAGAAAAGCCCTGGGGAAACACAATGAAAGCAGAAATAGTTGCGAGTCAGCCTAATACGCCCTTAAATCTCCAGAGCAACTCCTTCACCACCAGGCGACTTCCCTCGCCTGTCCCGGAGGAGTACAAAGTGTGCTGCACAGAGAGGTCAAACCATAAGGCCTCTGGGTGTGGAACCCCCAGGCAGGGCCAAGGAAAACGGTCCCTTCTGAAAACAGGGCGCAGACGGAGGTGAAATGCCCAGAACAGGGTCCTCTCACACAACTCTGGGAACCTGGGCAGCCACGCTTTATTTATAAAATAAAAGTTTTATTTTTATTTAAAAATATTATATATATATATATATATATATATATATATATATATACACACACATACATACATACACACACACACACACACACACACACACAGCCCTGACCGGTGTGGCTCAGTGGGGTGGGCCCATCATCCTGCAAACCAGACGGTGGCTGGTTCGATTCCCAGTCAGGGCTCATGCTTGGGTTGGGGGCTGCAAGAAGCATCCGATCCATGTTGCTTCTCTCATTCTGTTACTTCTTGCCCTCTCTTTCTCCCTTCCTTCCCCCCTCTCTAAAAATCAATGAATAAAGTTAAATATATATATAGATGCTGGCACCCCGAACATGCCAGGCCCTTGCCAGAGCCTCGTCCCTGGCCTCCCCAGCCAGGCCCACCCTCAGAGCGCCTACTCTTCAAAAGAATGTTTCAGGGGCCCCCCTAACAGCGGGCACCAGGGGGCTCAGAGGCCCAATGTGGGGGCTCTCCACCCCGGAGAGGTGCCTCCGTCAAGACCCAAATCCTCCCACTTGACCACCCTGGGCAGCCACCACTTTGTCTCAAAGTAGATTTACTTTCAATCGCCATTTGCTAAATCTGCCCCCTATAAACCTTTGGGGGCCGGAGGGATTAAGGCTGATTGCAGATGTTATAGAAGGACCAGGATCCGGGCGAGCAGCGGGAGTCGGGCCCCAGGGGTCGACCCAGCTCCTCCTCGGCCTTGTTGAAGGCTCCCCGCCCCAGGCTCCCCCAGCCCAGTGGGCCGCCCCGTGGGGGCTCTGTTTCTCCCCACCCAAGGGCGCAGGAGGCAGGGCCATGGGTCCCCAGCGGAAGATGAGCAGCTCTTTCAAGCGGGGTTCGCTCAAGAGCTCCACATCCGGGTCGCAGAAGGTGAGTGCACTTTGCTGGGTGGCCTGCGGGCAGAGGGACAGAAGGACAGAGGGACCCTGGCCTGCAGCTCTGCGGTGGGGAGTGCGGCCCACCCTCTGCATATGGGGCGGGTGGGGTGTTCTTCCTTCGGGGGGTGGCTTCCGGCCCCCTCTCTGGAGGTGGTCCCCCTCTCCTGCTGCTGTGAGCGTCATTTGTCATCGTCTGCCTGCTGCCACCTTCGCAGACCACACCCAGCGAGTTCGGGGTCAAGAAACGGTCAGATCCTCTGACCACGCGCAGCACATCCACCCCCCCAGAAGTTCTGGCCTTTGGTGTTTGATGATTCCGCCCCCTCAGCTCTCCGCCCCTTCCGACCCTTGGCTCACTCTTTGTTCTCCCTCACGTGTTTGGGGGAGCACCATGTGGGCTTTGCGAGACCCTCGGTGAGGATCCGAACCACCTCGAAGCACCTGGGGAGGGTCGGGCGGCTCCTAAGACTCAGAGCAAATTGTGGGGAAGGAGCCCAGACGGCCCTGCCCCCTCCCCCTGCAACCCCAGGCAGGGTCTTGCAAAAATGGGAGCTGATTTGAAGCCTACACTCGCTGTTCCCAATGCTTCACTTTATGACCCTCTGAGCGTGGGGAGTCTGGACAGGCCTCACCCTTCTGCGGTGACCGCTGCTTGGTTCCGGAGGTGAGGGCCGGGTCACTCCGGACCTCTGCACACCCGATCCCTGAGTGAGCCTCCTGGGCTCAGTGGGGCGTCTCTGCTCTTACCACTTCGTGTAGAAGGTGGCGCAGGAGCTGGAGCAGGAATTGGCCCCGTGAGAACGGAGGGGCTGCCTCTGTCCCCCAGGCATGCACCGATCCCCCACGCCATGCCCTGCAGCCGCGTGGGGCGGGTCATTCAGCAGGGCTGCAGACAGAGGGCTGGCGTGGGGCCACGTGTCCCGCACTGCGCTCCTGTATACAGAACTGCGTGTGCCTACCTAGGGATCTGTCACTGTTTGCTTCCAAAGATGAGATCCCAATCTTTCCCTGTGTTTGGGGCCTAGACAGTGTAAGATTCTCAGAACCAGGCCAAGTCCTTCATGTGAGGACACTGAGATTCTGAAATGATGGACCTGCTGAACTCGGGTGGGCCTGCTCTGCCCATGGGGGGTTGCTCAGCATGGAGCCAGGGGGTCCCCAGCCTTCGCTCTTCCCAGACAGCCACGTGGCTCCCTCGGTCCCTCACTGAGGCCATGTCCTTCTAAACAAGCCCCTCCCACTGGTCCCTCCCTTCTTATTACCCTCACTGGGGAGATCGCCACTTTATACGATGAATTTACCTGTCTATTCATCCTCAGCGCCCCTAGACCGCTAGCCCCAGGGACCCGGGTTTGGCTCGCCTCTGTCTGCCAGCTCTCAGTGAACACTGAAGAATGCAGGAGTCAGTGCCCCGGTCCTGGGGGGAGCTTGCATGGAGACGAGGCCTGGGACAGGCTTGGCCTGCGCACAGCACTTGCTGGTGTGGTCTTTGTTCATCTTCTGTATTTTGTCCTGATTCACGCGGTCGCCTCCTCCCCTGTGGTTAGAGACTATCTGAGTAGGATCGACAACAAAACCAGCGCGATGCGCCTGCTCTTGGGGTCGCTGTCCCCTGGGAAAAACCGGGAGGTCTGCAGCCAGGAGGGGTTCTGTAGCTGCCACGGCCCAGGCCCTCGGAAGTAAACGTGCTTTGCAATTATCGGGGATCATGGCTACCAGCAAAGGGGCGTGGCTGGAGGTTTGGGGGGGTGTTCATTTTGCTGAGTAACCACCGACCACTCTAAGGCAGGATTAGAGCGCTCTGAGTAGCATGTAAAAGAAATGGATGGACTGGGCAGGTGCCAGATGGCGCAGAAGAGCGGGTCAGCGAGGCTGAGCCGAGAAGTCGCCTGCTAGGGCTGCTCCCAGCCGCCTGCGCCCTGGCTGCACCACGCGGCGCAGTTCCGGGCAGGGGGTGAGGGTGCTGTGCAGGGTAATCCACGCGATGGCCCGGACGTGGGGCGGCAGCTGGCGGGGCTAATGCCCTTTAATATCTGCTTTCATGTGATTAATGCCTGTGCATAAACCCTTGAACCCGGGAGAGCGGGCCCGAGCGCTAAGCCTGCCAAGAGCATCACTTTGGGTTATGCTGGGAGCGGAGAGGCATTTCAGCGATTTACATTTTGGGGACAAGCCATTATTTTAGAGTGTAGGGCAAGTAATAAAGAGATGGACTAAACGCCCAGGCAAGCGGACAGGAGCGAGATGGGCCGAGCCTGGGGTTGGGGTGTGAAAGTCATTGGTGTTCCCAAGTGTCCTCTCCCTGCCACACACACACACACACACACAGACACACTCACCTCCCTGGACCCACCCTCTCCCCCTCCCCCCACCCTCCTCCACACAACACCAGTCAGACACCCTGAGTTTTCTGCCACTGCTCTCTGTCGGCTCAGTTGCTCCTCTCCTTACACACAACGTCTTTTACTTCTTTTTGCCCATATACTCCTAATGAAACACACTGCCAGCCTGTTAGGGTGAACCATTCAAAAGTTGCCATTTGTGGAGGTCCAAAACAGTGGAATAGCCTTGTCCTGTATTTTTAGGAAGTTGGCAAATGAGTTACAGCAAAGGACCGCTGGAGGGCAGGTTAGTTCTGGAGCGGCCAGGTGGGGGCAGCAGAGAGCTGAGCCGGCAGGACTCGGGGCTCACCAGGTGGGCTGCGGACAGAGCAGGCCCAGAGGGCGGCCTATGGGGTCCTTTTGCCCGATCACAGTAAACAGCGAGAGCCTCAGTGGCCAGAACCTTTTACTTGGACAGAGCTGAAGAGTAAAAGCACAGGATGTGACAATCGTACTAACAGTTCTTGCGACAGGCTCTCTAGCCCCTTGCAGTTCGACTTATCCTCTGGGCAGAGCCTCTAGACGGGATTCCCTCCCTGACCCTCAGGCCAGAGCTCCATCTCAGTCCACAGTGCAGAGGTGACCTCCTGGCCCAAGGCAGCACGCCCCCAACTGGGGACTGACCCCGCAACCCAGGCATGCTCCCTGACCGGGAATCAAACCCACGATCTTTCGGTTGTACCAACCATTCTGCTCCAACCCACCGAGCCACACGGGCCAGGGCTCAAGAACACAGACAGCTTAAAGAGAGAAAAGGTCAAGTTGACTTTCTTGTAATTGGACCCACATTTTGGGAGACTAGCCATCGATCCAGAGTTAAGATTTCAGAAGCATTAGCACAGGGTTTGGAATTTGGAAGTCCCCTGCTAGGTCCCACCAGAGGGCAGAATGTCACGGTCAGACTTTTGTAGATTCCAGCACAGTGACTCACTCACTGAGGCTTCGTACGTGCAAATTAACGAGATGTCAGGAATTTGGTGAGAAGGAAAACCAGCTCCCATAATGCTCTCGCCTTGGAACTTCCAGAAGCTTCAGCAGACCAGGCTACTGCCCTCCTTTGGACAGACTTGCCACACCAGTTCTTTTTTCTTTCTTTTTTTTTTTTTTAAATAGAGATTTGAGAGAGAAAGCCAGAGAAACATCGATTTCTTGTTTTACTTATTGAAGCATTCATTGGTTGATTCTTGCATGTGCCCTGACCGGGGATCGAACCCACAACCTTGCAACCTTGGCACATCAGGATGATGCTCTAACCAACTGATCTACCCAGCCAAGGCAGCCAGTTCTTGACCTTCATACCGGGGTAGGACTCCTACAAAGCCTTGACACAACCGATTGTTTCCATCGCAGAGTCACTGGCTCTATTTTCATTGTAGAGATTATTCTGGAAACTGAAAAGCACTCCATGTTTGGCAGGGTTTTTTCCTCCCATGTGCTTGTTATCCTAGCTCAAGTCATCTGCCAACATTGCAACACGAGGTCCCGCGGAGCCCGAACCCTCCACGGTGACCAGCGATGAGCCACGTTAATAGCTCTCGCTCTGGCCAGCCTGGGGCCCTGTGCACTGGAACGAGGCCGTGTGAACAACGTTAATGTAAAAACGTCTAAACCTGCAGAGAATTTTCACGAGGTTTTTACTGGCGCCGAGCTGGTGACATGCCAGGAAGCGAGATTTCAAATGCTCCAGAGAATGGCAGTGTTTTGCTTACGTTTATGCATTCAAAATTAAGGGGAGAACTCAGGAAGAGATGTGAAGGAAAGAACAAGGCGGGTGTGTGGAGCGGGGGGGATCTCTACGCCTGTAGTTTACAAGATCACCAAGGTCACGTACTCCCTTGAGAGAGCTTTAAAAAAGGTGCGTTAGCCTATTTGCTCCAAGTCAGCAGATAAGGGCTTGCTTAAGGCCAAGAGAAACCTTTCACCATAGAAGTTCTGCGCCTGGGGCATGACCACCCACCCACCAGGGGTTACCTGCCCAGTTAAGAATTTTTTTTATCAGATCACCCTGTGGGGTGACCTTCCCTCCCTGGGCTTGTCAGGTTTATTACAGAGCCCCTTTTCCTTCACAAAAGACTGCTGCCAATACGAAATTATGGACGGGGCCGGGAACCCGTGGGAGAGCGACCAGCATGTTTAGCCACCTTGGCCCCAACGGTCACCAGGCGCACCCTTTAGCTTTCGGACAGAGGAGAGAATTTCCCAAGCCTGCGTTCCACATGGCTGAGCATGTTACTTGCCCCCAGTGAGAAAACCTACTTTGTTTTTCTGTCACGTAGGGAGGGAGTTACGGAGAACTAGAGGCCAAGTTTGTGGTGAGTAAAGGCACCTATAGGCCTATAGGTGTCGGCCTCATCATCTACTTCCCCATTTTCTCCTGTTTATGGTTATCTTTGACAGCTAGAGCAAAGATTTTATATCCCTCTCTGGCTTTCTTCATTCATGAAGGCATTGTTCAATGAAATAGGAGTTTAATTTACAAATATCTATCTATCTATCTATCCACAGATTTAAATCCTTACCCAAGGATATGTTTATTGATTTTATATGGAGAGAAGGGGGAAGGGAGGGAGGGGGAAAGAGAGAGAGAAACATCAATTGGTTGCCTCCTCTT